AGTGGCAGTGATAGCAGTGGCAATAGCAACAGTAAGTAGTAGTAATAATAGTAAAAGTAATAATAATTATTAATCAAAAGTAAAGGTCTTAATCACAACAAGAATACTTTCTGGACTGGAAAGTATTCTTGGCTTTTTCTGATGACTGTATGCAATGTTGAGAATTTTTTGTATGAGCCATTCACTTGAAATTATATCTTTTGACTTAATGGTTTATACACATCTTTTTGAGGTAATAATTTATTGGAAGAGCCTTAAAAAAGGGCTTAATGAAAGTCACAGAGCATTCAAATGCCTTGCATGATAATACACTGAAAGGCTCAGGGAATTAGAGGCCACTGTAAGAACACAGACATCTGACACTCCAAATGTTACAGTTGGATTAGAATATCGAAAGAAACGTATACTATTACATATAAAAAATTAAATCAAAGCTATAATATCTTTCTCGGCGCCATTGTTGCAGAACACATTTCTAAAGCACATCTTGCCAAAATATGTCACTGAAGTCACCCTGCTTTGGGAGTGCCACTTTTTTTATATGTATTGAAATTATTTAAATGTCACGAATTAAACATAGTTTATTTGGCTAATCCATTTTGAAGCCTTTCTTGCAGCTTCCAATTTATATCTGCCTTGTGGCTTCAGGCCTCAGCTCTTTGTAGCTCTGTGGTTCTCTCTACTAGGGCTCTGTAAAACAACTTTCTCTAGCTCTTTTCCCAGTCCCAATTCTAACTGAAACTTACAACAAAAGAAGACAAGAAAATAGTCTGGAGTCATCACAGTCAGTCATGTCAGTTAAGTACAGGCCTGATGTAACTTTTATTACAGATATGCCCACACAAAAGTTATTAATTACATATGTATTTTCTTGCTTTGGTTAAAAAAAGTTCCTAAATTACTTTATAAAATATATTATAAATATAATATAAATATAAAGTATAAATAAACACAATTATATACATTTTCCCAAAGCTGAATTATGCAGGACATTCACAAATGTGTGAAATGTGTCATTTATAAAATGACAGTGAGCACTCATTCAGTTCAAGATCCAGAGAAAACAGATTCCAGGCCCTGAGGCACATGGTCCACTGGTAACTAGATTAAATTTTGTCTTCCACTAACACCGCTGATTGAGGTACATTCAGCTGAGGACGGGGTGTAAGGGCACTGCAGCCACCCAAAAGCTGACACTCACTTCATTCCATTAGTGGTGGTAGAGTAGCTCTGCAGGTGGAGAGCAGAGCAAGGAGTGCCTGGACTGTGTCCCTAAGAACTTGGGCTTGCTTTGATCACTGAGGTGCCCACAGGGCATGAGGAAGTGAAGTTGTGCTCTTGAGGAATTCCCTGTGGTGTAGAGAGATGAGCACAGAGGGCTGACTCAAACCTAACTGGGACACAGTACCTCAGTTTCAATCTGAGCAATGCAGCAAATGGCAGCATCTAATTCCCAACAACCATGACATGAAAGAAATGGTGAGATGGCAAAGAACACAGTCAACAGTGGTTTGAGTGGTGGAGTTTGTCATCTTTAGGCTATCTATGTACCTTCATTTTCTGCAGTCAAATCTCCATTTGCAATGTAAACACAGGTTCAGTTTCAGCATCTAAAAATTCACAACATCTACATGGGCTCACCAGCCAGAGAAGTCCAAAAGAGTCTGTTTTAAAATGCTAATTAAAAACCGCCAAGTAAATACGGTTAGGAAACATTAAATTTCTCTTAACAAGCTAGCATTTTCCTAGTGACAAACCAACCCATATATTTATTTAGAAAAATAAATTGGACTACTAGGCTACGTATATTGTTAAAATATAGGAGTGCTACGAATGATGCCATGGGAAAACTCTTCTTGAAGGTGATCTAGGGTGTGAGACCAAAACATTTTAAGGGAAGTTTATTGTTTGGGGTTTTTTTAAATAAGTTTGTTGTTCAGTGTTCTACATATAGAGGGACTGAAAGTGCTAAATGCTGTCTATGATGCTGGGGAAGATTCTGAAGATGTACTCTGTTGTTGGAGTGGTTATGTAGAGTCAGGTTAAGCACCAATCACACTGATATTGAAGGGTTTTGAACAGACTTTATTTAAGAGTTTCAAATACTCTGTAGGGGGCAGTTTTGAACCAGATTAATGGAAATTTGAAGCTGACTGACTCGAAGTTATGTTTTTATACTCAGTTTTTTCATCCTCACCAGCAACATGGGCATAATATCCTTTTTTTAGGTAGATCTTGGTGCTTACACAAACAGGTAGCTGCATACTATCATATAACACCACACAGCTGAGAGGCTTGTCTGTAAGTAAAGTTCAGTAATGGTAGCTAACAATTCTTTTTTTAAACTGTCAATTAGACAGATTCATAACTGAACAGCAGTGATTAGAACTTCATGGAGTAAGCCTGCATAAAAAACCAGCTCTGCAAAAGGGCCCAAGGACAGAAGTAGAGCTTGGGATCTCCCTCACAATTCTGGTTCAGTCTTGAATCAGGGCTGAATTTTGTAGTGACTTTAAAGTATTAAAAAAAAAAAAAGGAAAAAGAAAATGAAAAGGGAAAAAAAAGAAAGAAACAACCTCTTGGAGACATCAGTATTGCCCACAGCATTTCAAAATGCCTTTAAACACAGTATCATCATTATTTGCATTTATTTTGAATGGATATTGTGCTACAACATGGAAAAAGATGTCAGCACACTTAAATATGTTAGCTTAAAGATGAAGATTTTAATCAGATTCTCTCCAGCAACATGCCACTTAGAAGTATCAAAACCAGAAATGGACTATTTATTTAATCTGTAATACTAGCTGTATTTAATCTGAAAATTATTCTCTCAGCAGAATGATAGTCCTTAGTACAAGGATTTAAGTAGAAGTGACTCTAGAGAGCAAGCTGAAGAGAAGGAGCGGCTCAGTCACTGAGTCTTTTTTCCACTTGGAAAGGAAGGAATAGTCTAGATCTCAATGAGGAAAATAAAGCTGTAGATCTAGGTCACCTCTGTAATTGATAGGGGAGTATTTCTAGTATAATCAGTGACTCTGCACTGACTGCCATTATTTTGATTCAAATGAACTCGAAGCCCATTCTAAACCATGATACGCAGATGAAGTTGTTACTTAGCTGATACTGTAACTAGCTGATAATACAAAGTAGCTAGATTCACTCTGAACACTGGCAGAACCTAAAAGGATTATTTTCCCAATGTCAAAACTAAGAATGAATGCCTGGCAAATGATCAGACTCAACAGCTCTACTACTGAAAGCTTGAAGCCAATTGTGTTGCCTGGAAAGGTAGTGGAATATCTTGTTTGTCCTCTCCTAGCTTAAAATCCTTGCCTATTCTGTTTGAATTTGAATTATTTTCAAAATTGATGTACAGGGATGATGTTAATTTTCTTCACAGCAGCCCATATGCTGCTGTTTGTTGTATTCTGTGACTAAAAGCACTGATGACACAGCAATGTTTTGGTCATTGCTGAACAGTACTTGCACAGTGTTGAGGCTTTATCTTTTTCATGTTCTGATCTCTTAGTGAGTAGGCTGGGGATAGGCAAGAATTTTGGGAGGAGAACAGCCTGGACAATAGACCCAAACTGGCCAAATGCATATTCCATACCACATAACATCATGCTCAGCAATAAAACTGGGGTAGCAGAATAAGAAGGTAGGGGAGTTTGTCTTCCAGGGTATAATTGCTTGAAGACTGGCTGGGCATCAGTCTGCTTAGGGCAGGTGGTTAGTTATTTCCCTTGCATTGTTTTTTTTTTTTCTTTCATTCACTTACTAAACTTTCTTTTAACCCAACCCATGAGCTTTCTGACTTTTACTCATCCTAGTATGTCCCCCATCCTCCTGAGGGGGAACAAGCAGGAGGTTGTGGGGGTGTCTGCCTGCTGACCAGGATCAACTACCACAACTGGATAAACCCTAACATGTGTAGAATGTCCTATGATGCACTGTTATATACAAGTTCGACAATGCACGGTCAGCTGCAGGTGTACAGCTTCTGCATAGGAATTTCTACTTCAAGGCACTCTGAAGGACTTTCTTCCACATCTGTGCACACGCACCCACCTGCGTAACTGTAGTGGTGAAACTTCTGAGCAAGGCACCGGAGACTTTGTCAGAAACACAGTGCAAACAAAGCAAGTGTTCATTGTTCCTCTGTTTTCTCGGTATGAGGCAGGTGGTGGGTGTCAGCCGCTTAAGAAAACTGATAGAGGACCAAGGGAGAGGAATGCTGTTATTACAGCAATGTAAATTGAAGAAGTACAGAGTTCTGCTTCTCTCCAAAGATGTTCAACATTTGCCGACTGGAACGAAAGGGACAGTGAGAGCATCCCCCTGCTGTGACCCTCAGGGGACTCCAGCGTCCGCCTGGAGAGCACACGCCCAGCACGCTTCCTTTGTCAGCACCGCTTCATCTGCAGAGCGCCAAGAGGCCGGGGCAACCCCCCACATGACAGCCTGACCCTCACGTTCCTCGGTTTTAGCGTTAAAACACCTTTATTTTCTGCGAACAGGGACCAGCGAGAGCCGCAGGAGGACGTTGACCGCCTCCGCTTCGACTCTCCTGGGCACAGCCACCCGAGGCACCGTGACACCGCCCCGGCCGGGCCTCGAGGCGCGGCGGGAGCGGCCGGTCGGGCACGGCACGGTCAGGTAGGGCACGGCACGGTCAGGTAGGGCACGGCACGGTCAGGTAGGGCACGGCACGGTCAGGTAGGGCACGGCACGGTCAGGTAGGGCACGGCACGGTCAGGTAGGGCACGGCACGGTCAGGTAGGGCACGGCACGGTCAGGTAGGGCACGGCACGGTCCGGTCCCGCGCGGTACAACCGCCCAACCCTCCCCGGCCGCTCCCGCCATTCCCGCCACACAGTGCGCCCGGCCCCGCCCCGCCCCTGCGCACCCCGCGGCAGCGCGGCGCTGATTGGCTGCCGGGGCCGCGCGGGGCCTGATGGGAGCGCCGCGCGGGCGGCGGGGCCCCTCCTGCGACGGCGGCGGCGGCGGCGGCGGCGGCGGGGATGCGCGGCCCGGCCCGCGGCAGGTACGTGCTGCGGGGGATGCCCGGCCCGGCCCGGCCCCGGCGAGGCGGCGGGAGAAGGGCGCCCGGCGCTCCCTGTGACCGGAGCCGGGGCTCGAAGCGCAGCAGGGCGGTCGGTGCTCTCGCCCTCCTCGCCGTGGGCAGCCGGGCGACGGCCGGGGTGCAGCCTCGGGGGAGGGAGCCGCCGGCCGCGGGGAGGGGGCGGTGGGGCCCTGCTGGGCCCGCCCGGGCGCGGCGGTGCGGCGGCGCCGTGCGCTGTCCCAGGGACCGGCCGGGGCCGCCCCCGAGCTCCGCCCGCCCGCCGTGCCTGGGGCTCGCTCGCTCCCCCGGCCCCGGCGGCCGCAGGCTTCGCACCAGGGCTGGGCTTCAGAAAGAGCGCCTGACCCAGCCACTCCTCGCTCCACCGCTGTGCAGCCCATATGGGAACTAATTTGCCTTTTTAATTAAGGCTCTACAAAGCGTAAGACCTCTGTAGGCTGCTTCCGAACAGGAACAGCTGAAAGCCTAGTTTAAATGGGAAAAAAGTTCAGTGTCGTGTTTTAACTGGGAGGACCTAGAACAGGCCAGCAGTACGTGCTGGGTGATGCTTTTGCTTTTCTTTTGCCTGTTTCCTTGCCCTCGGCACTCGTAGTTGGAGAAACTTTATGGTCCCACCGGAGGTTTCTGAGGTCAGTAAATTGTGGGAGAACTGGAGATTCAATTTGAACGGTAGAACTTGTGTTCTTTGTAATGATAAATATCTAAAAATATTTACATAAAATGAAGTCACTAAGCTTACAAAACCCCTCATTTAAAAAGCATTGCCCATTCCTTCAGGGGAAAGGTCCGTATGTCTGTACGCAAGGCCTTGATGACAAGTTTCTAACTTCCTTTTTTTTCTTTTAGTATCTTCTCTTGACGTTATTGAGTCTTGAATTTCAGCATGTCAGTTATTAAAATTTACTTGGGAGACTGATTTTTTTTGAGAGCTTTTAATCTTAAAACATTATCAACAAGCTTGAAGAAATTTGAGACTGACTTGATAAAAGTGAAATGAGATCATCAAACTATTTTCTCCCTCTTGGTGGATGGGTTGGTGGATGACTTCCGTAATCAAGCATGATTCATCCCTCTTTCAAAGAGAAATGTTTTTTTCTGCTGTGGTACTCTTAGTCTGGCACTTTTGCTTTTTAATAACTTACATGTTTTGGGAGTAGAGGAGCTCCTATCAAGAAATAAATTTTTTTTTTGAGAGAGTCAGGTAATGAAATTGGTAGTAGTGTTTTCTTAAGCTTCTATATTAAGTGTTTTTTAACAATTTTATTGTCTGTTTTAAGCCCCGGATTAGGAAATATTGCAGCTATCTTACTTGTGTATTAAATCAGTGATAACGTTTGTGGAAGTAAGTCCAATTGCAGTAGTGCTTAGTGAGTGGAATGCACAGCTCAGTGCTAAAGAAGTGTAGTCTTCAGAGTGGGAAAAGTGCTATGTAATTATTTGTTGGTTAGAGCATGGGAAGCAAGCAACTTGTGGAAGGAGAACTCTTGCCATGGGTGGTTACTATGTGAGGGATAGGTATGTGGAGTGGTAGATCAGGAAGAAGGAGGAGAGTTTGAAGCCGCTGAAGACAACCTGTGTTGTCGTGTCAAAAAAAAGAGGGAAGAAAGGAAAACATCTGAGGCGCTCCATAGAAATCGTAAAAAATTCTGTATCTCCGAACTAAGGATTCAGTGACCGAACTGTAAATGTGCATCTAGTGGCCCTAATCCCTTAATACCTCTTTGGGGAAGGGTTTTGGGAGTATTACTGACTTGCAGAGCAGCGCATATAAAGCCTGTCATCATCATAAATCTCGTAAAATCATATGTACAGTGACAATTGTCAGACCCATTTCTCTTCCACCTATTTTCCAGCTATTTTAAAAACACTTGTGTAGAAATAGCACTGTGAATGTGTTATTGATAAAAGTTGGTGTGACCAATATCTCAGGGATAACCTGTGCTCAGAAGATCCTCTAACACTTCTACCGCAGATGTTCTCAAACTATGGCTTGAAGGAAAGTGGCACACACAAAGACTGCATGAGCATCTCTGTCACTTATGTCCATGACTGAGAGCTACCATTGCTCCTAACAGTAGTGGCAATGCTGGGGAAGCAAACTAGATTTGGGAGCCTTGTGCTAGTTTTACAGACTTCTTGATTGGCTGTGTTTTATTACAAAACAATAGGAAAGCTATCTGTCTCTGTAGAAATACTTGGGAAGAAAGTGTCTGCTCACATCTACTGCAATACCATCGTGCAAAAGCTCACTTGTATCTGCAAAGGGGCAACTGTGTAACATTCTCTGCGTTAGATTGTGTGTTTGAAAAAACCCCAACCTGCTGTTTTACTGAGGTGAGTTGCTGTAGTAGTGATTATTTTGAGAATTTGCTCAAGAGCCCAAGGGGTAATAGTGCTTTTTCTGTAGCTCACCTCTTTGTGCTGGTAATTCGGCAGCAGCAGAGCTAATTTGCCCATCTGTTATAGCTTCCTTTTGGCAGCACTTCAAATACGGATTTCCTTATTTTTAAGGATTGGTTTCTGAAATCACAGGGCCTCTAGTTCTGGATTCTGAAGCCTTGGCTTTCTTAAAAGGTGAGGAGGTTACCATACTACAGTAGTGTTCCTGCTAGTGAGTGGTCTATATTAATTTGTTCTAACAGCCTTAGACAATTTGAAAACAAATTTGGATTTTTTACTGAAGGTAACTTAATAAACGAGATAATATGTGTGCCCAGCTAGATCAGTGCTTTGTTTCAATAAGTCTTACTGTTTCATTCCAGAATGAAAAAGGTTTGAACCTCGGTTGGTGAACCCCCAGTTTACTGTTGGTGTTGTTAGGAACTGATTACTTTTTCATTCACTAGGTAAAAAACTTGTAAATTAGATGAGCAGAAAGAAATTCTGCTACACTGAGGTTCAAAGTCAGTTGATTCCAGCTACCTTCTGATAGAAAGTTGCTACACTTTTGTTTCAGGAACTTAGACCTAGGTCATTGAATTAGTGTTGTTCCAGGGTTCCAGGTTTGTGTAGGGTGACGTGAGCTGCTTTTGCACCTTTGGAACTGTTGGAGTCATTTGGTGTGCTGATAATGCACTGTGGGTTGTGTACAGGGAAGACTTGCCAATGTACTGCTTTCGTTTAGCAAGTGAAATCTCTTTGAACCTGATTATTTGAACTTAAAACAGATCATACCAAAGAACAACAATAGTGCTGTCCAGTACATTCTTTTCGATGGTGGCGTAAAAAGGAAGTAGATTTATTTGATAAATTTTCTCACAAACAGTAGGATATTATTGCTGGATGCCTGGACTGACAGCTGAAAAGGAACACTGAGTTATGCTTATGGGCAGCAGAGGAAATAACTGGAAATCAATTTCTTAAATAATCCTGCGCAATAGTAAGTTTTTAAAATTGTTATTCTGCTGGAGGGTTTTGATGGCTCTTCTAGCAGTAATTTTGTGTCTCTGTTTTTGAGGACTCCAACTTGATTAAGTATTTCCAAAGTAAAAATAAGTTTGGCCTCATCAGGGCTGATCAACTGGCTTACAAGATGGCCTCTGAAACAAAAAGCTGGATGTAAAAATAACACATAGGTAGATAACTAGAAAATGGCTTTATGCAATATTTTGATTTCTTTAGATGTTGAAATGAATTTGTGAATCTTCAATATGCTATTAGATTGCTCCTAAGCGCTTAATGCTTTATTTATAGCTGTGAATTCTCGTAGAAGATTGATAGCTCTGCCAACATTTGTCCACAATTGAAGATGGGTGGATTGATTTCGAGATGGAGGGTAAGTAAAATCGTGTAACAGGATAATCTTCTTTAGTCTAGAAGATGGGAGTACCTAGGGCATGTTTCTTAATGCCTATTGCTTGACTGTTATTGCTAAACTTTTCCTATGAATGTCATTTAAAAATCCAGTAGTGAGACATCCCGTGTCCAGAAGTATTCTCTCCACTAAACTGTGAAACTGTGTTGTTGTCTTTTATTTCCTTTGCTGTATCAGTCTGGCACTGGCTTGGTTAACTTACAGAAAGAGTTAAAACTGAATTTTTATAAGTCTGAATAGTTTTGTGGTCCTTCAGCAGGATAGATACTGCAGCATCTGTGACTTGAAAGATTGGTGGCTTTTTTAGGTCAAAATGAGATACATGCGGAATATCATTCTGTTTTAACACATATTTTGGTAGCTACTTACAAGTCTGTCTTCCTATCTGCTTTTGTTGGCTTGTATGTTATTGAGGGGTGTACTGAGTTTATGAGGAAGAAGAGGCATGAGATTTTTGACTACTCTCCTGGCAGGTGTGATTTGTTTGAGTCTAATTGCTTATTAGCAATTGACTGTTGAGCTTCCCATACAAAACTCCTTTAAAGATGAAAGTTTAGGTGAAATATCAGTTTTGTGTAAGGGAAGCTCATTTTCATGGTGATGCGGTGTGGGCCGTGGTTTTTGAATTTGTGGTGTGAAGGGTGGGGAAAGATTATGGCTTGATAGTTTTCAGGAATTAGGAAAGCTTCCTAGAAGGTGGATTTCAAGTTGCTCCTAAGGGGATTTTACTGGAGATAACATTTATTTGCAGTTGCTTATGATTTATTTAGACCATGTGTCTTTGTGTAGAGTGAAGAGTAATAAAATGCTGAAGTACTCAGGTTAGGGCTTCCTTTATATGTTCTCTTTGCTTTGCCTGTTTCCTCCACTCATCAATTCTGTTCTTGTTTTGCTTCCCACCCACACATTCATTATTGGTGTATGTGCATTATAGGTTTTCATCCTTTGTGATGTAGGAGAGGAACCTTTAGTTAAGAGTAATACCAACTCTTAAAATAGTGATTGATTATAATCCCTTCTATTTGTCACTATTGAAGTAGGAAAACTTCTGACCTTTATGTAAAACAGATAATGTATTAATCTATTATGAATGTCTTTTTGTTAGGAAACTGTTAAAGTACAGTAATCCTCAAAAATCTGACTTTTTTTAAAAGTGAGATTAATATCTTTGTTCTTTCTCTTGTAAGCAGGCAAAGCCATCCACTGTAGAAGTATTAGAAAAAATAGATAAGGTATGTGTTTGCTTTTTAGTGTTTTGTTTGATTTTTTTTTTTTTAAGAAATATGCATCCCTTTTGCTGGCCATGTATTTCTTTCACATTAAGCAAAACACTGTAATGAAATTTTAAATTATTTTGGTAATTATTCCAGTACTAGAGATTCTGAGTTTCAGAGGAATTGCTACCTTTTCCCCCCTTACTATTAGTCATTTAAAAAATACCCATACTGTATAATAGATAGTAAGAAACTACAGTTCAACTATTTATTTAGAGAGCTTGAAATAGGAATGAATGTGAAGCTGCCTTGATTACACAATTATTTATCACTACTGGTTAAAGTCCCATGTCATGGAAAATGTCACTAATACTAAGTTCCGTTCATCAGGTTGATTAGAAAAGCTTCAATGTATGGTTTTATGTGTAGAAGTTGTAACTGTGATAGAAGTAAGTAAGGTTAGGGGCAGAATAACTGAATAGGTGGTTCAGTAATCAATTGTGATTTTTTGCCAGCATTTGTGACAGATGTCTGCACTCTATGGGGAAATTAACTGTTTTGAAGTATGCTGCTGATATTTTTTGTTTTCCTTATGATGAAAGTGTGAGTACTCCTGTTGTCACTTGAAATACAGTGAAAATGGTTAACACAGCAGAGTGTTGCTCACTCACTTATTAATATGCCAGAAGCATCATAGAGATGTTCAGGATTTCACTCTTAATGTGAGGAAAGTACTGAGAGGAAAACACATGAAATAATGGAGATGTTTCAGCAATTTCCCATGTTAGTAGTAAAACATTAGAGGCATTTAAAATTCCACAGGTGCCTACCTGATGAAAGTTTTAAGATGCAGAGTATGGTAGCATTGATTTATGTCAATGTAAAGATTGCCATTCTTAAGGTATTAGCATTTTTCACTTGTCCCACCCAGATATACTAGTACATTACAATTGTGAAAAAGTGCTGATTTGTAACATTTCTTTCCAATTGCTAATACAGTGCAGGTAGCCCATATCATAATCTTAATAGCATGGTGTATTTATGCTATG